TCTATCCGTAAGCAATTGCTGTAGCTCTTGCAAACTTTGAAACCAGACTTGAAAGGGAAGATGTCATTTGGCGTTTGTACGCATGCTTGTGCTGCAGCGATGGGTGCTTTTAAAAGCTCCCAGCACTGCGGTGCATACATTTGTATAAACGATGAAATGCGCATCAGTGCTGAGAAAATGGTGGCAGTGTGCTTTTTTGAATCTAAAATGCATCAAAGATGTTTTGGTTCAAAAGCGCACTGCCGCCATTTTCTCAGTGCTGTCACGCATTTTGGCATTTATACAAATGTATGCAACGCAGCACTGGGCGCGTCACCTTGCATGTGGAGCAGACTCGATTAATCAATGTGTATAAATGCCCACTGAGACCACCTTTAGATGTGATCCATGTTGAAAACTTGACCTATCTGAGCCTGCACTTTTTTAAGTAGTACATTAGTAAGAATTTATTTCAAAGGTGCAACAAAATCATTAATGCTTCAGGATCCTGTTTAACGTGTAGGATCCATGCTAACCCAACCAGTTTCCAATTGTAGTATTATTTAGATACTGCAGTATCATTAATCTCCTTTGGATTCTTGGAGCATGTTATGTATTCCTGAGCATCAATTAAATAGAACAATCTTTTTTGTCCTTGGTTTCTTAATTCTGTAAGATAATTAATTAAATGGTCTTCGATTTTAAATTGGCCAGCCATACACTGCCCCCACCATATCAAGACCTGAACTTTGTCCTACATAAATCTTGTTAAAACAAGACTAGACACTAATAATTTCCACAGTTCCTGAAGCGTATTGCAACACATCTCTTATCTTCCCATCTAATTACAGTAAAGCCCACAGACTTATCGCTTTTAATATTTGCAAACTGACTTCAGTTATTGCAAATTTATTTATTTAATTTATTTATCTTTCTGAATAGTTGAGAACTTGGAGCGGGCTGGGTTTCTGTCTGACTTCTTCTGAACTACTTGGTAAATCTCCTGGAAGGCTTTTGAATAAAATTTGGGATGTCCTTTTGGTCACTCTCTTTTGTGGTGGGTAAATAAATTATAGACTAGCTTCTTGGGTATCATAAACAGAAGGAAGACTTGTGTTTCAGGAATAATACCTGGAAGTATTCCCAAATTGCAGCAGAAACTGATCTAGGTACATCACTCCTTGGCATACATATTGAGAAGTGAAACTTCTCCCATTCTCAAATGTCTTAATGCAGGCATTGGCAGAATGGATAAGTGACTCTAACAAACACCAAAGCAATACACCATACTCGGGCAAAGAAACTCTTGAAATATTGCATGAATAAGAGTCCTGTATGTGCTGGAGTCCTGTAATTAAATTTCAAACTGTGGAGTACACCCCTCCCCAGAAGTGTGTGGTCAGGCTTGAATCTTTCATCTTCATGCCGACTTGATTGAAAGCTCTGGCTCTGGGGAAGCTAAGGAAGGATTAAGTATCTCCTCACTTGATTACTGTTTTTCAGCTTGCTTCTTTAACTATTACGTTTGCATCCTGTTTACAGGCAGTCTTCGGACTTGGCACACAATTGGTTCCTGAAGAAAACTGTCTTAAGTCAAAATGTTACAACTCGGAACCAATTTTCACATAAGAAACAATGTTATAAATGGGGGATTGGTTCCTGAACCCAGGCCCAATATCCTATTTTCACCCAAACCCCCCAGAATGTTGTATTCTATCTTATATATGAGTAATATAGCTACATAAATGTATTATATTGTAAATAGCAATCATATTGATTTGGAATGACTTCTTTGATGTGACTTTGCTGGACTTTTTGAAGGGTTCTTGGCTGGAGTCTTCTCAGGAGTCTTGGCTGCAAATTTTTATGGAGTCTTGTCTGCTTTCTTAAAGAAAGTGTCCAAGGCAGTTTAGACAGATGTTCTCCAGGGAGATGAGCGACTCGGTGAACTTGTTTGCTGGTGTGGCGTGGCATTGCGTCAGATCAAGTGTTGTCGAGTCAAAACTGATGTCATAAAGTTGAAACGGTGTCAGTTTATAAATGTTGTAATTGCAAAACGTAACTTGAATGTTGTAAGTGGAGGTCTGCCTGTACTTGCAAATACAGAGCTCAAGTTCAGCCCTACACTCTGGTAGCTTTGTTTTTAGCACCTGCTCAGGCTTCCACAGGAGTTGTTACAGTTATGTCTCATGTTGATCCATAACATGTATGACTGCATGAATTGTGGTTTCTTGGCAAGAATTACTGGCAGGTTGCCCCATTTGGTAATGGGACTAGTAGAGTTCCTAAATGACTATATCCAAGTGTGAAGTTTGATAGTCCTTTGTGGAAATGTATTTGTAGTATTTAGCTTCTGCTGGCAACATGGACTCATCAAAGCTAAACACTAAAGCAGGCTTGGGAGGAAGCATAGCTTTTGCCCTCAGAATGCTGATCTATACAGTCCTTCCATAGCCTCTGACAAAGTGGGTCTGAACTCTCATGGCTCTGAACCAGTTGGTTTCTAAGGTGTCACCCTGCCCTACCTTCTGTCTCTTTTATCTAAGAGGAAGTCTCTGCCTTTCCCCTTTGCTGCATCAAACACACTTCTGTCTTTTCTAGAAAACACTGAGGCCGACGTAGAAGCTGCCCCGAGCCAGAGTGAAGAAAAATCCCTGCCTGCTGCGCCTGTTCCTAGTCCTGTAGCACCAGTACCTGCACCATCCAGGAGAAATCCACCTGGTGGCAAGTCCAGCCTAGTCCTCGGTTAAACCTGTTCCTTCCTGACTGTTTTGAACTCATGTCTGTTTCTTTTTCCCCCATGCTTGTGAACTGCACAACTTGAGCCTGACTGTACATCTCAAATGTCGTTCATTAAAAAGAAGCACTTTATGTACTCCATCTTTTTTTTTAAGTACAACTTTTTTCCCCCCCCTTCTGTCCTGTCTCCCCTGGATCTACTGGAAGTGACATGAGTGTTTTCTCTAGTGATAGACTTGAGGGAAAGCTTTGAGGTATAGTAATGTATTTCAAAGGGGACTAGATTTGGTTCTAAGTGTGGTTAGAGGGTTTTTGTACTGAGGTTTTTAGAACCCCCTTAGTTTCACAAGGGTCTACAATCCTGCATATACAGGCCAGCAAGCAATCAGCAAGAACTGTCCCCTCCACCACACACAATAACTGGTTATCTAAGGTTTCATTGACTTCCTTGTGGTAAATGTCTCAAGCCCCACTGTGCCATACAGAACTGTATAGTGTGGTGCTAGCTTACGCCATGCTGCCTTCAGTGAGGAGTATCTGAATGTTGGACCATTAAGTGGGGTATGTGTGCCAAATACATGGTGAATGAGTTGCCTGTCCTAATACTGGGGAAGGGACTCTTGTATACAGGAGACTTCATTCAGTGAAGGTGGAGTGAGGAGTGGATCATACAGGAGTTAATATTTGCATACAAATCTACAGGGCATTTTATTACAAATGACTCAATGCTGTGCATGATCATGCTGGTGCTTGACCATGAGGTGGAAATCTCATCCTTTAAAATGTGTGTTGTAATTTCAGGAAGCTGGACTGTTGCTTAAAAGTAAATAATATAGACATTTTGAAGCAGTGTGTCCTGTGTGGGCTTTATTTTGGTGCTCTTGCTTATCTTGCCTTTAATATACAGGTACGACATCCTGTACAGGAAGGTGCAGGGACCCCCATAGTGGGCACTCCTGCAACCTGCTTAGTGAGGGGAAAAGTCTTTTGATCCTACATCAGCTGGAGTTCAGTCCAGCTTTGGAAGTATGGTGGCCTCTTTTAATAAACAGATGAACTCCAAGTTAAACTTGATTCTTTAGGATACATTTCAATTCAACACATTTCTTGTGAAAGAAAAAACAATAGAGATTAGACATACTGCTGCCAGAAAGAATATTGGGTGTGTGTAATCTCAAACCCCTGCTTTTCAGTATGCTTATTCACTTTTTTTTTTGTCCGTTGTCTTGAGCCAAGAATTGGATTTGAATATTACTTGCTGAGATTCCCCTTTTCAGTATAGCAAGCATCAAACACGGGCTTAATCAGGAATAGCTTTGTATTTTAATAGCTACACTTCCATCACTGTGTCGTAAATCCTTCATGCTTTTTGGATAATGTGGGAAAGCCACTTGAGTACTGCCTCTGAAGTTAGTCCAAGACTGTGACTTTCCTTAGTACTTTTAAGGAAGAAGTGAACTAATTACTGACACCTGCCTACTCCTGTTAGACCAAAGCTTAATCACCCGTCCATTCTGCTCACTTGCACTTTTTGTGGTGGCTGGGGGGAAAGTGTTCCTCTTTGCTGACACACGCTCTAGTTCTAGCCTTCAGTCATGCTAGTGCCACCTTCCTTAAATTCCTTTGTACTCTCCAGAGGGCTTCATTTAGTTCATTTTTCTTGTTCCCTCTAGTTTTCACTTCTTAAAAGATGCACAGTTATCCACAAGCTGTGTCCTTACTGCTTTGATTCCTTAACTGCTTTAAAACAATCCTGGTAAGATAAAGGGGTAATAGCCCCACTTACTGCCTGGGGTACCAGTGCAGTACCCTGCCCCATCTCTGACAAAACTTCTGCCAAAAGCCTAAAACAATGCTTGGCCCTACCACACTGCATGCAAATGGAAGAGGGAAATAGATACCTTCTGCAAGCTGGCAAGTGCCTCCACGCTTGTGCAAATGGCTTTGCACCAGTCTGGCTTCCAGGAGCCTTGGCTACCTGCTCTCCTCTGGCTGGGGGAGCTCCAGCAAGCTCTCCCAGGGCCTGGCCTTCATTTCAGCGCATGGTCTCTGCCCATGTAGGTGCCTCAGACTGACCAAAGGCTGCAGCTGCTTTAAGAGATGCAGCCTCTCTGCTGGGGCTAGGGCTGGGAGGCCCCTGCCGGGCTGTGCTGCTTCCCCCTCTCCCTCCCTCCACGCTGCCCGGGGGCTGATGGATAAGAGGGACCCCCCCCCATGTTCCTGCCCCTCCCTCATGAATATGCATGAGCCGGGCCCCGCCCCTCGGGGTTGAGCGTGCAGCGGCGCCGGCCGGGCCGCGCGGTCTGAGGCGCCATGGGCTCGGGGTCGGGGGCGGCGCTGCGCGTGCTGGCGGACATGGACGGGGTGCTGGCGGACTTCGAGGCCGGCGTGCTGCGGGCCTTCCTGGCGCGCTTCCCCGGCGAGCCCCGCGTGGAGCTGGCGCAGCGCAGGGGCTTCTCGGTGCGGGAGCAGTACCGCGGCCTGCGGGAGGACCTGGCGGTGAGCGCGGGGCACGTCCCCCCGGGGGTCCCTCAGGCCGGCTTCCCGCCAACCGGGGGTCCCTCAGGCCGGCTTCCCGCCAAATAGTGCTCGGGGCTTGGCGGGTCGCGCCGAGCAGAGCAGGAGCCGCTTCCATGCCCGGGGCCGAGCGCCGAGTCCCCCGGGGGCTAGTGCCTTCTCCACGTGCGGGTCCGAAGCCGAGCGGAGACGGGCTTCCGGCTCCCCTTGCTTTTGCCGCATCCAGCGGGGGGATGGGGATGGCGAGCCCAGGCAGGCGCCTGCTCTTCAGACCAGGCCGGGCTCGCAGGTAGGAGAGGGTGCGTGAGGCACCGGTGCCTGCGAAGGTAGGAGAGGGTGCGTGAGGCGCCAGTGCCCAGGATGGTTTTACCTGGCTCTGTTTGACACCAGAAACTTGCTGAACGAAGAGGACGGACCTGTTGAAAAGGATGGAAGTTGATCTTGGGTGTGAATCCCAGCCAGCTAGGCAGATACACTGGGGTGAATGCATCTGTAAGTGGCTGGAGTGACACCGTTGTATAACATCCTTGTTCAGAGAGCCTCTAACCCCCGAGCTCCTTCTCGGCTATTCCTGACCCACAGCCGTCCTGTTCGGTCCCAAAATCTCAGAGGTCTCAGTGGGTTACAGAGCTGACTTTTTCTAGATGAAGAGTTTGAATCCAGCTGGGCTTAGTAGGGACAGCCGGCTGCCACTTGCCCCGTTCATTGTGTTTGCACTCTGGTGCTAGGTGCGGTAGAAGCATCTAGCAAAATAAACCGCAAAATAAATTGCTCCTACCCAAGAGAATTGACAGGTTTTGGGGTTTTTTATTAGCGTAAAAGCAAAGTGGCTAGTGTTAACTGTAAGCTTTTTGGGAGAGAGAGGTGTGCAGGCACATACAGCACCTAGCACCATCACCATCAAACACAGCTGTGACTGTTTGATGACAGTCACATTGCATTTATTTTTCCCGCTGGCTCGCTGTTAAGTCCTCTCAGTACTCTTTGCTGTTTAAATGCTGTTCTTCTGGTGTTTTTTTTTAAAAAAAAATACTAGCCTCTTGCTTCTCAAGCGTAGGTGTTCCCTACCTCCAAATGCTAGCTGTGAATCCCGTCTATTCAATATTGCCTCTCTCCTCTTTATGCTAACCCTTAAATTGACCTGGCTTCATGCGCGTAATGAATGCTGATGACTCTCTCAAGACTTTCATGAATGTTTGTGTGTTCATTTCGCACCGGTGACACACAAAAGGTAGGTCAGCTAGAAAGGCAGCAGTCCTGCACACTTGGATATGTCTAATCAAAGGCCGCCAGACTTCTCCAAAGGACTGTTCACCCAGAACTAAGCTTTCCAGCCTCTTCGGTAGTATGGGTGTGAGGGAGTGCAATGATGGGTTTGCAGCTCTGAAGAATGAATGTCTTTGTGCTTTGCCTTTTCTGTGCTCACACACGCTTCTTGAGGTAGGGCTGACTGGACACTGCGTCTAGGTGTGCAAAAGGGAGCTTTGTCCCTGTGGCCCGTTCAGTCCTGTCTGCTCATATGGTGACTGCCCTGGAAGAGGTGAAGGGTAGCAGTGGGGCGTGTGAAGCGGGTAGCTGTCTGCACTGAGACTAGTGGTCGCTTCACATGGGCCACTGCGCAGCCACCAGCCAGCAGTTTTTGTTAAACCACCGACCAGAGCTAGATTCAAACCAGTGAACCTCTTAATAAAAGATGCTATTGAGGTATTAAAGAAAATGAGGAACAGTGTAACTAAATGACTAGCAGTCCAGGCAATTCCCAAAGAACGGGGCCGGGCAAAGATTCCTCTGTGCCATGCAGCAGCCCTGCCATCACTCAATAGTAATTGGCTCATTTATCCTCTTGTCCCTCTTAGGGCCGGTACTGGAGTCTCACCTGACAGTAAACACTCTCTTTGCTTCATTGTTGCCCCTTAAACCCTGCCTGAGTGTCAACTGGAAACTGCCTCCTTTCCTTTTGCAGCTCAGTTTCCCCTCGCAGGAGAATGGCATCAATCATATGCATGTGCCCCCCAGTATATCTGGAGCAGTTGCACAAGGGGAAAGAGAGAGAGAAAGACCCTGCACACAGTTCACTCCTCCCCTGTGGGCGTACTCCCCTGAAAACAGCCAGGAGCTGACCAGGAGTGTCCTGCATATGAATTAGGGAGGGCAGGGAGGAAAATGTGCATCAGAAACAGAGACAGAAAACCCATTCATCTGGTATAGGCGCCAGGCCAAGTGGGAAGGGGCCTGTGCTTCCCAGTGAAATATCCTAGGCAAGCAAAGGCTGCCTTGCCTTATTCCTCTCACAGGGGGACAAAGATATGCTGGCCACCCACTTCATCCAGGCCCTTCCCTGCCTCCCGTGCCCCAGGCCATTTCCTGTTCCTGTGGCTAGTGATGCCAGCTCTGCATCTGGGGTGGTGCCCTCGCTGGGAATGATCTCCATCACAGCTTCAGCCCTCAGCCAGCACAAGGAGACCAGAGCACAATAGTGAGTCTGGGCCTTAGTTTAATTCAGAAGCAGAGAGATCAGCGGTGACTAATTAGAGAGGCATGTACACTTCTTTAGCTAAGCATGAAACTGGGATCCTGGAGCCAAGGGGCAGCGTTTTGTCATGTGCTGTGACCAGAGCAGAGTCCTTTAAACCTCGCTTTATCTGTGATAACGGAGATAACATTTTCCTGGGAGCCTACGAGGATTAGTTGCCACAAAAAGCTAAGTACTACTGAAATGTCTTTTGGTGATGCAGCAAGTCATGGAAGGAGATTGCTTTCAGCCCAATGCAATCACAGAAGCACTTGGTTTATTTCAGCCTCTAAATTCAGGCCCTTGCCTGTAGTTATGTGACAGCCAGTAAAAAACCTGTCTGGCTCATGTTGGACTATGCAGCCTTTGGCAGAAGGCACAATTTTTCATTCCCATCTCAGGAAAGCCTGTCCTTGTCCTTTCCTTTACAAATCCACACCTGGTTGTGTTACTGCAGCCAGGCTGCTGACTGGCCTATTTGAATAGAGGCAGCAAGCCTTGGGGTCCAGATGCCCTATTCCAAACCCAGGAAGTTAGCTTCAGGTGGCACCCTTCCTGGCAGGGCAAGCATAGCAGACATGGACAGGGAATGCTGGAAGAAGCTTATGCAGCCTCTTGTCTCTGCTGAGCCTGTTTGAGGCGATAGGGGCTCTGCTACTAGAGCTGTCAAGGAACAGTCTTAATTTTGCATGTGTTCAACTTAGCCACAACCTTAGCACCTCTGAAAGGAGAATGTTTGACACGTTACCCCAGTAGGACAGCTGTCTGCATAGAAGCCAGGTTCCGCTGTGTTACAAACGCAATTTTTTTCTTGATGCTGGATTGAAAATCTTGGAGAACAACAAAGCAGTTTCCTCCATACTGGAATGCCTTGCTCGTGGTCTGGAGAAATCAACTCTGAAGTTCCCAGAGTAACAGAGTCTCAATATCCCAGTCTGTCCTTGGTTCCTCTGTTTAGTGTCCCAGCTATCATGTCTTTTCTTGGGAACTAGAACAGTATCTGTCCATGTGCTTCATATGAGACACCAGATAACAACATCCAGTCATTATCTACCCGGGCTGGACTTGTCTTGACAATCTATTGGTGAGATTCTGCAGTCCTCTTTTAACCACCTTCTTTCCCTGGAAAACGTGGCCCAGAGACCCATCTGAGGTTGAGCAATATGCAATGGATAAAGAGAACAGCTGTCAGGCTCTGCAAAAGTAAATGTTGCTAATTCTCCTCATATCTCTTCCAGGCCAAGATAGTCAGTGTGTATGAGTCACCTGGCTTCTTTCTTGGACTGGACCCAATACCAGGAGCCATTGAAGCCATGAAGGAGATGATCCAAATGAAGGAGTAAGGACCCTTTGCAATGCACCTTTCTTTTCTATTATCTCATACACTCCTATAACTACTAATTGAGACTCTTTCTTTTTAGCACCGAAGTCTTCATTTGCACAAGTCCCCTCCAGAAGTATGATCCCTGCATCCCTGAGAAGGTGGGAGAACTTTTTTTTTTTAATTTTGGCTGAGCTTTGCAGAAGCAGCTTTTAGCACTGTACAGACCAGTGTGACCATAGCCAGTTGCTCTAGAGGGCATTCAAACTTGCCATCAGAGGTGACTGTCCATCCGAATAGCTGCCAACATAATAAGCCAGCGCCTGGGACCTCAGCACTTAGGCTGAGCTGCATCTTTTTTTTTTCTTTCTTTAAAGCATCTGAGCCCTAATTATCGGGAGCCAGAATAAAAAAGAAACCATGCTTTAAAAATTGCTTTGGCTGCCCATCTTGCAGTAGCAAGAAATGGCACAGGACTAGGAGATGGTACAAGAGCAGATGCAGTGTGGGCCAGCTGGACTTTTAGCACGTGCCAAAGGCAAGCAGTGATTCTGGCGTACAGAACTCTACATAGGAGGAACCTCATCTGAAAAAGCCAGCAGATTATTCAGAGCACAGAGGACAAAGATCAGAACTGCTCTGGTTAGCCACGACTGCCAGACAGGAGTGTAGGGTGAGAGAAAGATATTAAGTGGACAGGCTAACAAGTTACAGCATGGTAAAAGGGGAAAGTGGTTGCCATGCTTCAGCTGATCAAAAGTAACTAGTTTGTGTCCACTCTTTCCTGGAATAGGTGGAAGCAAAATTGGTAATTTTAACAGTTGCTTGATTAAGAAGCAAATTTTCCTTTAGTTTTGCTTTCTGCACAACAGAGCAGACTTGATTACTGCAGATCAGCTGACATGCAAGAAATCAACCCCTTTCCCCCCCTGCAACCTTTCTCTCAACTTGGTATAATTTATTCATCTGTCCACAGCCTTTTAAAAGGTATTTTTGGCCTTTGGAGACACTTATATGCCAAAGCCTTGAGTCTCTTCTCCTGCTGCCTCCTGTCATTTAACTTTACAGAATACATTGGAGCTTCTCTTGCCTTAAGTTGGTGAAAAAAAGAAATGAATGAAGCCTTACGTATTTGAACAGTTTTTAATCAAACTGGATGTAATTTGTGAGCTCCGGGCAGATGGCCAGTACAGGTCTGCAACTGGATGAAGTTTGGACCTCTTCAAAGCAGTCCTTACTAAAGTCTATTGGAAGTACAGGTCAAAACAAGCCATTTTGGTATCTGAACCACAGCCAAATTGCAGGGTCTGGAAGGGATACAGACAGCCTAGCCTTGAAGCCTGAAATATTTAGGCTAGGAGCTGTCTGGTGTCTACAATGTGAAAGCTGCTAGGTCTAATGGCTTGCTCTTTGCCCTACAGTACAAGTGGGTGGAGAAGCATTTGGGACCTGAGTTTGTGGATCGACTGATTTTGACCAGGGATAAGACCATTGTATCAGCCGACCTGCTGTTTGATGACAAGGACACCATTCAAGGTTTGGGAAACTTAAGGGAGAAAGTTAACGTGCGATTTACTACTGCTTGGGGAGGACAAAGATGACTGACTTCAGCTTCTCCCTTGGTCTTCTCAGGTGTGGAGCCTAATCCGAGCTGGGAACACATCCTGTTCACTTGCTGCCATAACAAGCACTTGGAGCTTAAGCCACCACATAGGCGGCTGCAGTCATGGGCTGATGACTGGAGAGCAATATTGGAAAGCAAACGCAGGAAGTAATGGAAAAGGGAAACAGTGCTGTTCACATCGCAGATGGAAACAGCTGGGATGTGAACTGGCATTCAAGTCCCTTTTGAGGGAATCACTTTGACATAGCTCAGGCAGCACCAAGGGCTGACAATACTAAATAGGGAATGACTCCCAAACTTTGAGTCATCACAGATGTGCATCTCCTTCAAACTTTCTGGAACAGTTGCCCTATTAAATTATTTCACCTTGTCAGAGAGTTGTTATTGAGCCAGAGGGGGAATCCTTCACAAGAGGAGCAGCAGCTGCTTGTGAGGTCTAGTACCATGTTCTGGGATGCCTGGGTGAAGGAGGCAGGGCACTGAACTCCCAGTCGTGTATCCTGCCACCCACCGTGCAGTGACAGGTGTGGATGTAAGAAAGTCAGGTTTAACAGCATTGGCATTTTAATGATCTAATTTGCTGGTCAGAGCTTATTTGGCAGCTTACCCTCTACCAGACATGACCTGCTTTATATTAAATATTTGCTCTTGCAGCCCAGCTCCCTCCCTACCTCTTTCCAAACAAAGCTACTTCCATCTGAATGGTTTTTGCCCCTTCTACTTAGTTTCTTCCCTCTGGTCTGTGCCCAGCAGCTGTAGGCAGGCTCTGAAGACAGGGCCAGCTCTCTCAGTTGCTACCCCAAGCTGCTTGCTTTGCTCTGTCCTGCTTCAGTCCTTTGGGAGGGGGATCCCTACCGCAGTGTGTTTGCTTAGGCTCCTGGCCTCCTCGACCTGCACAGGTGCACAGTAATCCTCGAGGAAGACCACTGCCAGATTGCTCAACCTCCTGTTGGCAGAAAGGGAGAAACGCAACATGCACTCCACCACGGGGAGAGCCGTGATCTCTGGGCGAGACTGTGGCGTGGTCAGGTACATCAGCGTAGTGACTGCCGACATCACTGTCTCCTCATTCGAACTGGATAAGCAGTTTATGATGGGCTGCACCCCATTGGCCTCCAAGATATAGTCCTTGTTGGTTTTATCCAGGCAGAGGTTACAAAGACCACCTGAAATAAAAGGACGCGTCTAGCATCTACTAGCAACACCTTACCTCCGACACTGAAGTTTCAAGCGCATTGGTGCAACCAGGCTGCTCAATTCTTTTGTAAGGCTTATCTACATATGAACTCAGATGAAAATGCCTAAATTGTTGTAACATGTTTTAGTTTGATGAAAGTTTGGGTAAGGACATGCCTATCTTTGGGGGTGGAAGGCAGGGGAAGTTACTTGAGATATCTTGCTTTACCTGCTATCGACTTAGGCCTTTCCTTCAGGGAGACTTTCCTCTAGAGCAGTGAGAGAGAAACCTTTCAGCTGTCTAAATCCTGGGGATGAAATGTTCTAATAATGCAATAGCAATTGTATAAAGTACATAAAATCCCTAAGGCAAAGCAAGAGTTTACACATCATTGACACCCAGATCCCAGTATAGAAAGAAATGCTCAGAACGTTGTTTTACAAGCGTTAACATGGTGTATATCATCTGCCTCCTGGTCTGAATTTATTCTCACGTCCTTCTTCCTCAGAGGGAGTTTTCAACCAAAACACTTGCTCTTCCCTATGGCATTAGGGGGCACTGTGCTGTCGTAGGTAACATCTTTTTCATAAGAGAGAGACAGAACCCTGGTCACTAGAAGTCTCATGGCAACTCTGACAAATGGAGGGTTAACAGTCCTAAGAGTTCAACTGAGCAGTTACCCTGTTTCACCCCAGAGGTGGCTACAATCCAGTCATCAATAAAGGGGTTTCTAGATATCTCTTTGCTACCTCGTACAGAGGATATAGGGAGGCTTAATTATGTGATCTACTGATGGAAGGTGTTATTAAAAGTAGTATGTCAGTACTAATTGTGTTTACAATATTTGATTACTGTCCGTTACATGGTGCACGGGTAAGGACAGTACTAACCTGTCAAGCATCCCACACTAACGATGGGTGCTACTTGCCTGTAGTCCTGCCAGAGGAAGTTGTAATATAGATGGGACCCAGGGGTATTTAATCATCCAATCATCTCACCCTGTTTACCACTTGGGATTAAATCTGACATTGCTGGCTCCCAAGTTTATATTTAGCCCATGCTGACTCACTGTAATGGAATTGTATTATTTGGTATAAATCATTACCATTAACTGCTGACAACAGCAAGAGTAATAAATTAATATTGTACTTCCACAGGCTGTCTGGCAAAACCTTAGCTGTTCACAATGACTGTCTTATGCAACAGAGACTTCCCTTAAAATAACTGTAAGAACTGAGTTGTTGTTCCAGTATTGAGGGACTGGCCTAGTCCTATAAATATGTATTTTGTTAGCACTGCAGCATGCTACTGAAATGAAGAGGAGACTTGCCTCCTTTCCTGCCCTCTCATTCTCCCCTCACGTTGTTCCAGTTATTCTATTCTAGAGAGGTTCTTATCACCATTACGTTTGGCTGCCATCCACCATTACATTAAACAGCACATTAATATCTGTCACACGTGGCTTATTCTTTCTCCAAAGCTCAAATGCACCACTGGGTCGAAGCCGTGAGGCTGGCATCCCATAACTTGCCAGTGCCCTACTAGCACTTCAATAAGTGTTTTAAATATAATCCTTACCAATTGCAAACTCCACAAGAGTCTCCTTGTCCTCCGTGAGCGCATCCAGGAACAAGTCAAGGACTTGAAGCTGCCGGAGATATTCATAATTCTTGGGATCATAGGCAAAGTTGGCTAAATTAGCCAGTACTTGTTCCTTGGCTTCTGCAACATAAAAGCAGCTTCAGGTTCAGGAAAGGGACAATTGATAACGGGGACAAGCTATAACTGAATCCACTACGATGTGACAGTAGAGCAGCTATACTGCTGCAGTGTCCTGCTTTGGTTCTGGAGCAGTGGTTCTCACACTTGTTAATTCAAGGCACGCCATGGAAAATGCAAACTCACCTTGTGCTCATTTTTTTGACTGTGGAAAAAACAATCCAGCAATTCTGCTGCAAAGAATTCAGAAAGACCCCAACAGGTCACAGTGCTTTTGACACTCTGGATTCCTATTTGAAATCTCTTGGGTTTATTTTGTGACTCGTGCAGATTTGTTATTGTAATGGCACCCTTATAAGGATCTCACAGCACGCTGGCTGAGAATCACTGCTGTAGAGGCTTGTGTTCACGCCTTGATCTTGGCTCATCCTGAAGACTACTCCCAGTTGGCACAGTGGAAAATGGGCACCTGGTCATTCAGGCTGTGGTGTTGAATGGGTAATGCCAGCCACGTCCTTTTGTGTGCTGCTGGCTGCTGAAGATGGTGTGCCAGTCCTGCACTGTCACCCCCGCTATTAGACCGGGGCAGACCTTTGATTTTGTTCATACAGTGCACAAGGGAGAGGCAGATCAGCCTGATCGGACCGGGAAGCTCAGCAAACACCTTAATAAAATAAAATTAAAAAGTTGCATCCCACAGTCTCACCTGAACTCTCCGTCACTTGAAACTCAGTGACAAGCGCCTGCAGGTATTCAAGCCGCCCCAGATCCATTGGATCCTACTGATTCTGCAAAGAGAACAACAGCGCTTTATTTTGTAGGGCCCTGGAGTCTCCCATCTTTGCTCCTAGATTAAGACAAAGATGTTTGAGTGAGTGTTGAACAGTCCCTGGATTTTCTTTCGAGTCCCTTCAGAGTGCCCAGGGGAATCACATGGGGTCCTCTGGCAAGTGTTAACCTCGTCAATGCTTGAATCGGGCTGCTGCTAAACACAGCAGGGCCAAAACAGGGTTGGGGACAGCTGCAGTTTCCCTGGCTGACCCACACAAGGATGTTTTGCTCACCCAGGACAAGTGTGGCCAACTTGGCCACGGGCAGCCTGCGTGGGCGCACCATGCAAGCCGGTCAGCAGATGGGGCAGGGAGCAGAAAGAGCATCAGGGGGGGCTGGGAGCAGAAAGCAGAGCAGCAGACTGGGCAGAGAGCACAGCGCTGGGAGCAGAAAGAGCAGTCGATTAGGTAGGGCACAGAAAGCAGAGCAGCAGTTAGGGCTGGGAACAGAAAGCAAAGCAGGCAGGAAGCATAGCCCATGGAGCAGAAGGCAGAGCGGCAGCAGGGGAAGGGCCCGGGGATGGCGGGACCTGCACCCAGGACCGCGAGCCCCCGACGCTGCCCCGCGCGGTGCCCGAACCGGCGGTACGGCGGGCGGGGACTCACGTGGGACAGCAGCTCCCCGCCGGCCCGCACCTTGCAAAACAGAGGGCAGAAGTGACGTAGCTAGGGACGCTCAGGGAAGGGCGGAAGCTCCTGCCAAGGGGCTGGGCCGGAAGTGGTTCGTGTGTCTCCGGGTGGGGGTGGGGCAGTTTTAGCTCGTGCCTGGAGGCGGGAGCGCTGCGGACCCAGGAGCAGGAGTGTCCCTCAGGGCACTCAGAAGAGGAGTTGGGTTTGGGTCAAGCCAGGTGTTAGCAGAGCCCTTTTACCTACTTTAGCTCACAGATTGCACCTTAGGAGGTTGTTGCCCTGAGTCTGCACTGAGGGAAAGGTCAGGCGCGACTAGTACTCCGTGACTAGTACTCACTAGCTAAATCTGCCCGGGGATGGCTGCTTTCCTCGTTGAGGTGACTCTCTTCATCTTGGCTTCTCTGTCTGTAAAATGGAATAATAATTCCCACTTCTGTCAAGAGCTGATATACGAGGGCTGGGATGGCTCGGCTGTATTTTTGCAGGCATGAGCTAATGGCCAGCGAGTGAGAGGGGAGAATTTTTCTGGTTCTCCCAGTTGTAACAACACCGTCATCTGGGCTGCTTAAAGGGTTTTTTCTAATCTGTTGTTTCTGCTGTGTCGGTGTTGCACACCTGCCCAGCCAATAAGACGTGTAGTCAGTGTCTTTGCTTGATGGCTCATCCTAAAGTGGGACTGAAAATCTCCAGCAAAAAGCACCCAGTCTTGACCCCTGAAGATTGCTTGGGGTGACATTCACAGCTGGCCTCCTGCTGTGGATGAGAGAGAGGGTTTTTTGCCTATATTTTTTTGCTTGAAAAAATGAAGGGACCACTCTCCCTGGTCAGTAGATGAGTGCTTGCACTTCCGACCCGGCAAGTCGTGGAGAATTGTTGCGGTTCTAGATGGTGGAGTCTTCAATGACCCTCTCGGAAGGGTCAGCATTTCTCTTCTGTGTTAGTTACCTGCTTGCCTTTGTTTTTCCCTAGTACAGACTATTTGTCCCTTGTCCCATAACTTCTCTGAATTGTTTGTAATCGCTGCGTGGAGTCGCTACAAGGAGAACAAACAGCTTGTTCCCAGACTCATGACGTTGATCATCCTCTTGGCAGGCCTGGGCAGTGGAAGATTTACTTACCCTGGACAAAACAGAAGTCTTTATCCCAGCATTTCCACCTTTATTTACTTCAGTAAATGATTAGATAAGCTGATTTCAGAAGCAAAAATTCACAGGGAAGGGGCAGTGTGTGCATGGGTGGGAAAGGGAGGAATGACATGTGTTTTTGAAATGTATCATTGGGCCGAGATGCTTAGGGAGCAGGAGAGGGAGGGAAATGTCAGAACAAGAGTTAAAAGGGAGAGATGAGGCAGAGACTGTAAAGTGGGAACAATACTGGCACCTCCAGATGTGCGACTGAGAACAGAAAAAGTGGAGTGAAGCCTGGGCTATAACAGAATCATGGGAGGCCACGGCAGGCTAGCCCTGGTTTGAATACAGAGTTGCATCAGCTTAACTGACAGAGTAATTTGAAACCGGTTAAAATAAAAGTTCATATTTAAACCCATTTAAGCTAAATGAGTACAGCTTCAGAATGTGGGCAAGGCTTAAACTATGACGCAGGGAACTCATTCCAGAGACAAATGATTGATGAAGTGAGTTAAATACAGTACTGTGTTACACATCAGATGATGCCAAATGACCTGGCTGTAGCCAGTTAGATACGGTGGTACTTCTACCCAGGCTTGTAGGTTGAGGGCAAACCTATGCTGAAACTTTTGCTGGTGTCATCAGTGGTGGGGTTCACCCTTCTGGGGGGGCCCTGGGCGGTCGGTCTGTTTGGGACCCTTGTGCTTTTTAAGCAACCAGACCGAAACTGTTGTGATGCAAGAAGGGTCTCTGCTCAACTTGGAGCTCAGTGCAGTTGCCAAGTTTGTACTCCCCCAATACCACCATGGATATAGTGATGTCAGCCAAGTTGTTAATGACTGAGTCAGACACTTCTGTAGCAGCAGAAGCCCTAATGCACAGAGCCTTACCAGAAGAAAATGCATGCGTTGGCATGGGTTATGTCATTTGGGGAGCAGGTCACAGCTATGCTGCAAAAGCACTTGTTTTGCTGGTCCAAGCTGCATCTGCCCAGGAGGGCTTGCTGGTACGAATCTACTGGGAAATCTTTTTTGGTATGAACTAGACCTCTTGTCCTTGCTGAGGTTTCTAGACATAGAAGTGGTGTGCAGAGGGAAGCAGGAAATTCGGGGGCCAGTGTGAGACTGTGAGGGAGGGGGAAGCCCGCTGAGGTTGGTTTGGGAGGTGAAATGATGCTGTAGTGAAATGGGGAGAGAGAAGGATGAGAAGGAGTTGGACTGAATGGTGGGGGGCGGGGGAAGGAGCAGGGAAGGAAGAGGGTAACTAGGTCTGAACTTGTGGTCCCTCAGTCTGTAATTCTGCACAGAGAAAAAACAAGGAAAGGGACTATCACTCTTCTGTTCTTGCACATGTGGCTTGAGCCTGCATTAGCTGGATTTGCTAGTACATGTTCTGTAGAGATGCACTTTATTTAATGCTTAGCAAGCGGGAAAATCACTTATCAGCTCAGGATGAGGGGCCCAGCTTTGCTTGTCTTCCCGTGACCCACTAGCTCTGTTTTCTACTGTTTTTCTCTTGCTTTGATATAAGCCTAGATTGATTTAGAATCAGAATATTGGAAATTAAGGGCTGGAAGGGACCTTGAAAGATCCTTGAGTCCAACCCCCCTGCTCTGGGCAGGAATACTTGATCTCATCAAGGTGTCAGTTCAGTCTCCTCTTGAAGACTTCCAAGGTTGGACACTGCATCACCTCCTTGGGAAGTCTGTTCCAGATTCTGGTCACCCTTACTGTAAAGAAGTTCTTCCTTACATCCAACCTGAAACCATTCTTTAACAGTTTATGGCCATTTCTCCTTGTCCTCCCCTGGGGCGCCCTAGTGAACAGTTTTTCTCACAGCTCCCAATGTTACACCCCTTACATACTTTCATAGATTCATAGATTCAGGGTCGGAAGGGACCTAGTAGATCTTCTAGCCCGCCCCCCCGCCAGGGCGGGAGAACAACAAAAAACCCCAAAAAGAGAAATGGGACTCAAACGAGTCCAGCCAGGTAGGCATCCAGCCTCTTCTTAAAGACCCCCAGGGTAGGGGCCAGCACCACTTCCCTTGGAAGTTGGTTCCAGCTCCTAGCCGCCCTAACTGTGAAGTAGTTTTTGCGGATGTCCAATCTAT